ACTTTGGGAGGCCGAGGTGGGCAGATCAAAAGGTCAGGAGTTGGATACCAGCCTGGCCAATATGGTGAAACCCCGTTTCTACTAAAAATATAAAAATTAGATGGGTGTGGTGGCGCACACCTGTGGTCCCAGCTACTTGGGAGGCTGAGGCTGGAGAATCGCTTGAACCCAGGAGGCAGAGGTTGCAAGGAGCCGAGATTGCACCACTGCACTCCAGCCTGGCAACAGAGCGAGACTCCGTCTCAAAACATAAAAATAAAAATTTTTTTAATTTAAACTAAATGAAGGCAGGGTCCGCCCTTCCCTCTCCCACGACCCTCCCCGCTGAGACAGAACAAACTTGGGGACCCTCTGCAGGAGATGAAGCGAGGATGATGCGTAGGCTTTGGGCATATGGGCCAAGGGGTGGGGCCCCGGGCCTCATGACCACATCCACCCCTCTCCCAGGCGGCGACTGCGCCACGCTCTTGAAGAACATGGGCCCGCTGCCCGTGGACATGGCCCGCATGTACTTTGCCGAGACCGTGTTGGCGCTCGAGTACCTGCATAACTACGGCATCGTGCACCGTGACCTCAAACCAGACAAGTGAGCTGAGCCAGCACGCGAAGGCCTCGGGGAGGGCGGGGCCAGAGCGGCTGGGGGCGGGGCCGGAGCAGGTCGGGGGCGGGGCCTCAGGTGGGGAGCCCCACCTGTCTGATAGTCTGTTGGCACCTCCTGACGGGAAGGCAGGGAATGAGCACAAGGTGAACATCTTGTGTGTACAGAGGAGAGGAGAGCAGACACTTATTAGACATCTGCTGTGTGCAGCGGAAGGCCGGTGCACTTATGGAGGTGCTGCCAATCAAGGGGAGAGGAGAGAGGATGTGCACTTAGGATGCACACACTGTATACAGAAGGGGCTGCGCACCCAGAGCTGCTGCTGCACAAGGGGAGAGAACATGCACTTAGAAGGCACCAGCTATATACACAGAACAGGATTATGCAATTTGCAAGACCTTAGATGCGAAGACAGTGACCATGCAGGTCTTAAGCACCTGCTGTATATTAGAGCAAGAAAGCAACGAAAAGAACATGTTTACTGAGAGCCTTAGGATGTTTATTTGATTCTAGTATGTAGTAAGTACCTACTACATGCCAGATCCTCTATGGGCGACTGGGAGACACAGGGCCACCTGCTTTGAAACCCCTGTTTGATTTTCTCCCCTGCATTTATTGAGCACCTGCTGTGTACAGGGAAAAGGGATGCCCGTTTATCTAGGGTCCTCGAGATATGAGGCAAGAACTAACGTTTCTCACATACATGTGTGGAGATATGAACATGAGTGTGAAGAGCCTTGTACGCAGGCGAGGCGTGGTGGTTCACGCCTGTAATCCCAGCACTTCGGGAGGCCGAGGCGGGCAGATGACCTGAAGTCAGGTGTTCAAGACCAGCCTGGCCAACATGGTGAAACCCCGTCTCTACTAAAAATACAAAAATTAGCCAGGTGTGGTGGTGCATGCCTGTAGTCCCAGCTACTCAGGAGGCTGAGGCAGGAGAAT